CGCACAGTGGAGTTGGTTTGTGTTCATCTCCAGTGAAAGTAAATCCAACTGAAATATAGCTTTCGCTATATTGCCTTGCGCCAGAGAATTTAACCATCTTTGCTTTCTTTTGACCCCACTCATACTCGGGGCTCTCATCTGGCTCCAGATTTTGTTCAGAGTCCAGTTCTTTCCTTTTCAAAAACTTGTCCATCACTGCAGTATCAGTGTCTCTCTCCTCACAGCAGCCGTTGTCTCTCTGACACTGTGTGAGGCGTCTGCCTGCGTCTCATGGGGGCGGGGACACGGCGGACACTTGTCAAGATTGGCAGGGGGAGAAGTTATAGCACTGCACAGCGCCGTGACCACCTATGACACTGGCGGGGGGAGTGACGGGAGGAGTTATAGCGGGCGAACAGCACCATGACACCCAGACCCGGCGGCACACCACGGTGCTTCAGACGGCACACTGGTGTGCCGCGGAACAGCGGTTGGGAACCGCTGCTTTAGGCCCTTCATAGCTTCGCAGTCTATTAACGTTAAGGTTAACTCAGTTAGAATTTTGATAGCTTCGGCTATACCTCTTTGATTTAGATTAGTTTAGGTCTTAGCATCTTAAGTTCAAGCCGAAGTGTCGGCTTTATTGTACACTCCAAGACGGAGTTTTGTTAAACCTTAGTTGGAATAATAAAGGGTTAGTTTACCCTTCTATCTTATTGTTTCCTGTCACACGAACTCAAGCGATTATTCGCTTATTAGTTCTTAAGATTCTTCACTTCCAACAGTAACTTAGTATTACAAAGCGAAGAAGTCTACAATATCATTGGATTTCTTGGTTCTTCATCACAAGAATATCTGTCATGTTTCGTGAAAGTAGTTATGCTACACATTTGTGGTTCAGAATGAATAATCATTATGCTGAGGGCCCACCAGTGGCCGAGCAGTAAAGTCGCTGAACACTGGTAGTTCGGTCCGAGGTTCGAATCCCGCGAACGGGCTGGCTGCATGGGCGTTTTCGTGGTTTTTCCCATGTGTAACATGTATACGAGCCAGTTCCCCTTACAAAGTCCTCCACAAAGGCATCCCTCCCCTTAGGCAGATAGCCCTAGTGTGCTTTGCCATAATTAAATACACCACCATTATGCTGAGAAAGAAAGGTTCAGAAAAATGTTATCTACGAGTCTGCTACTGAGACCATTCTAATTTATGGCAAGATTTATATCCCGAATATTTACATTTCTTTCAAAAATAATATATGTTTTTCACATTTCTGCTCCCACTGAACCCCCGCCCTCCGGAAAAAAATAAGTTTGCCAGCTTTAGATGATTAAAGTCGTGTTTAAGAAATATTACATCTGAATCTCGAATGAATGGATTAACTATCTATCCATCTGGTTCAATTTAAATGAAGATGAAAATCTTGATAACATAGCTAATGTATTAAGTAACCTTCCTTTTGTTTTGCCATACGAATTTCAGGCCCCACTAGTTGGCCTAGTGGTTAAAATGCTGAATACTGGTAGTTCGATCTAGTGTTGGCTCAATCCCAGGCGATCGGACTGGTTGCATGGTTGATTTTCGTGGTTTTTCCATATGTAACGTGATTGCGAACCAGTTCCTCTCAGAAAGTTCTCCGCGAGTTCTGTCTGCATAAGTAACAGATAGCCCATGGGATTTAATAAAGTTCATAAATAAATATTTAACTTTGAAAACAAGAAGTTACATTCATATAGCCTTTTCAACCTTTTGAGTGCATTCCTGCTTTGAACCTGTACTTTCTTCAGCATCTCCTCTGTCCTATATCTGGAAGAAATTTTTATTGCTTTCACATTTAGTGGGCTCGCTTATTAATATTTGAAGCAACAAAACTTTAAGAAACTGTACTGAATGAAAAATCTTTAAAAAGTTAGGAGTCTCTTATGGACTGCTGAATGATATTCTTCTAAACTGGGAAGGAAAAGGACATAAAATTTAAATAAATGAGTATTTAATTAAACAATGAAAAAGAAATCAGATTTTATATTCTCGTACATAGAACTCAATAAGTAATTCATCTCGACCAAAACGAGATTTTAGGCATTCTACCCCTTTATTATATTTTTCACCTGTTGGCGGATTACTGTTAACAATATTTCGAGCTCTCGTGTCTTCCGACAGGCATTGCATTAAATACTGAAATCTATCGTCATTTCATATATTTTCATCTTCATGAATTCTTTGGAACTGACTCCAAAAGGTAAGCCAGTCCTTAATTTCACCGGTAAATTTAATGAGTTCAATCTTCGATAATTTCAGTTTCCTTTTAACCTGAACGAGAGAAGAACAAACTAACTGGTTACACTGATCCTTTAAAATTCTATATATACAAATGTCTACTTTTTCTGTAATACTATCCATCTTCTCATTGTATTCTTCAATAATCAAATACTCGCGCTCATATTTTTCTGCATCAGCATCTACAACTAATAAATCACTTATTTCAGAATCGAAACTAGAAAGCTGAGCATATATCCTTTTTAAACTAGTAAAATTTGATCGAATTTCTACCTCATTAGGTTTTTCCTTATTTAATAAATCACTTAAGGCATTAAAAGTTTTAGTAAAATTAACGTTTCTTTACTAATAATTCCATGCTTAAAACGTTTAACGGTATTTACCTTCAAAATCCAGTGAGATCACGTCCCGGTTATCACCACTAATGTTGCGTTGAATCTACCTGAATATTATTTCATTCAGTCGTTCTCGCCTTTAAATTAAATCTGACTCCATTCTATAACACTTGAAAAGAAATATTTTTAAATAAACAATTGCATTTTCTTGCTTAAGAAAACCAAACTTTATTTGCTTACACACTTAAGGATATCGAAGCCTTATTCTAATCTTTCTTACTCTTGCCAAACTACAAAAGCAAAACTCTGTCTAAAAAGGAACACAACGGCTGTTGAATATCGTTAGCAAATACAAATCATGGAACTCACAACAATAGGACTAAAGTAGCATTCGTGGTGTAACAATAGCCCAATCGGCGCGTATTCGATAGAGATCCAGGTTCGTGTCCTGGCATGGGTATTGCTTATTTTTCATGTCTTCTGCTTCAAAATAACCCAATGTCTCTGCATTGTGTATTGTAACTTCACACTGAATGTATATATTGCATATTATATTTAGTTTTATGATATATGTATGCAATATTTTATAATTCTATAAGCAAGTCAAAAATGCTACTCTATACCACATGTACCAATGTAATAATGTAAAACAGGATTCCAAATCTTTAAGGTCTTGAACTTTTTGTTCAAATTCTTATCATAATGATGCTAATTAAGTTACAGGAAATGTCTTCGCGGGCCGTGTAAAATTACTTCGGGAGTCGCGTGCCATTAGTTTGAGACCACTGACTTAAGCGATTATAATACACAATAAAGTTTTTGAGCTTTTGAGTACATGTACATTGTAAACCATTTGCTAATGCTACATTTATTTCTTACTGCGTACTGGACAACTGGTCCACAAGAGAATGCATGCATTTCAGCCTGGATAGTTCAGCCGACAGGGTTGCTCAGCTACAGCAACCACGTTGTATGCTTTTAGAGCCATTTGCAAGTGAAAAAGGTAGATATGTGTATTGCTATCGTAAGGCACAGTTTGGAAAATTTCTATGAGGAATCAAGTTTTTTCCTTCAGGCAAAGGAGAAACTTCCTTGAATGCATAAAAGCAGTAGTATTCAATGACAGTTTGATACTTTGTAAATATCAGGAACGAAGTGAAGAGTGCTACTACCTCCAGGCATTTTTAGAGTTTTACATCGAAAAACTTACCTACATTAATGATTTTTGTAACATGTTACATGCGAAACCTACACTACTACAATTTGTTACCTTACCTGCTACGTACACATTGCTTTAAATATTACTTACAATGTTATCTACAGACCGGACACTTGAAACACAAGATATGCTAACATTCAAAATCGTAAAAACAACCTTGTATTTAGTGTAAGTATATTAATATTCATTATACTTACGCTAAATACAAGGTTGTTTTTACAATTTTGATTGTCACATTAGCGTGTTTCTCTTCTATTCTAGTCTAATATGCTAACATACTATAAAGTTAGTTTATATTAATTAACTCATTTTTTTGGATTTGGATCTGTATTGTTACTTCTCATTTTCGTTAGTTCTTACAAGGATGCAAATGAGTTAAGACTATTTAAGCGAGGGTTATGAACGTTTCAGGAATATAAAGCTTTTGGCAGCGACTCTCGAAGTTTTATTTTCTATCGCCTGACTCTGCCAATTTGCTAGTCCAAGCTAAATCGCGCAATTTCAAGTTTTGAACTAACGCTTGGTTAGGCAAATTTATGTAGTTTCAGTCTACGAATCCATATTAGATTATACAATGGTGTGCAAAACTTAAGCAAAAATGTAAATTTTAATGAACAATGTAAATGTTTGCTATGAAATTGCAGAAAAGGGGTTTTTGCTATCAGTACAATGAACACGCAATTCAGTAGAAAGA